AACATGTCTTTTATCGCAAGATATCTTAACGTGTCCAGTACGAAAGGTTAAAAGGCTTTTCTAGGTCGAAGCCCAAATATATTCAATATTTCTCTTTTCTTTTTTTTTTAATTTATTCAATATTTCGTTACATGATTGATCTTTTATTACATTAACTTCATACCATGATGTTCTTATAGAGAGATAGATACTTTTTTATTTCCATCCTTGTGGTTGTAGATATGATGATCACGGAGGCGTTGGCTTGGAGCACCAGATATGACGAAAGAAGAAACCAGGACAGCTGTGCGACGGTGGGACGAAATACGCTTGGATTAATGGTGCAGGGGCAAACGGTAGCATAGGATAAATTGACGGTACCGGAGGATTAGTGCTAGTAGTGGTGGTGGTGACTCCATGGACCTCCGGACTATTTTCATTCAGACGGCGTGATGCGGTGCTTTCCGGCGTGAGATGGATGATCAATAAAAGGGTAAATGCTAAAGTGGAGTAAGTTGAAGAAGCCATTATTAGTTAGTTTCATGTGTTGCATATTACATGGTAATTGTGTGTTTATATATAGGACAAATCAAGATTTAAATATATAGAAAAAGAATTGAATTATTCAATGTTAGATATATTTGTATAAGCACGTATTCGTTTCACGTATCATCATTGTCTATTTGAGGTAATTTCTTCTTCTTTGTGACGTCATTGAAATGGTTGTTTATTCGTTACGTTGACACCTTAACACGGAAATGTCTTAAATATGATAACCTTAAAAGAACAAAATTCTAATGGAATGACCCGGCACGGTAAGAGTGTTATCGAAATAATATAATTTGTTATAAACGTTCTTCTTTGGAAAATTTTATATGTATATAATTGATATTTCACATATATTGTTGTATACGTAACATCAAATTCAATCTACAATGGAAGACAAACACTGCATGTGGATGCATGTTGGCTACTTGAATGTGACCATTAAAAAAAAAAACGAATAAATCAAATTTATGTTTTGAAAGGCAATACCGAATTTAAACGATTTTTTTCTTATGATGACCACCTCAGTTATTTTGGATGGATTTCTAATGATTTCGGTTAACTTTGTGATTTGATTGGCTTTTAAATCTGCGCCTAATTTAAATTATTCCACTAGCATTAGAAAAGTCCATTCATAGGCCCTGTTTAGAGTGTTTCAAATGTCTGAGATACTCCAATATATGTCTATTCTTTTTTAGTGTATTCCTTTATTGTCTAGAATGCTCATTTCTCCAATACTCTTGTTTGGTACAACTAATTGTTCCCTAGTTGTACCATGGTAGTATTACTTGGTACAACTAGTTATACGATGCTACAACTAAGGTATTATTTGGTACATCTGTAAAGAAACTGTACAATTAGGTATTACTTGGTACAATTATAAATACATGGTACAATTAGTTATTTGGTACAGCTAAGATAAAAAAATATCATGGTACAAGTGGAGTTTCCCAGACATTGACTTAGTCAGTTTTCTCAATTTTAGAGCTTCTTATTCGTCGATTCTGTTACATATGTAATGCAAACTTATAAAGTTGTGAAGGAGAACT